AAAGGGATCCCCAGTCTCTGTGTAAGGAGCCCTGGTGGTGCAGTGATTAAGCACTCGGCTGCTAACCGAAGGTCGGCAGTTTGAACCCACCTCCCACTCTGCAGGAGAAAGATGTGGCAGTCTGCTTCTGTAAAGATTACAGCCTGTCCTATAGGGTCGCTATGAGTCAGAATGGACTCAAAGGCAACTGGTTTTAGTCTCTGTGTTGTGCATGTAGATATCCCATTGCTTTGCAACATCTACTCAGCCTGATATGTACACCTCTGTTCCCACTGACTTCCCTGCATAACCTGAAGGAAAAAAAAAAAAAACCAAACCCGTTGCCGTCGAGTCGATTCTGACTCACAGTGACCCTATAGGACAGAGTAGAACCGCACCATAGGGTTTCCGAGGAGCGGCTGGTGGATTCGAACTGCTGACCTTTTGGTTAGCAGCCAACCTCTTAACCACCAGGCCACCAGGGCTCCCATACCCTCACAGGGACACCATTTATCCCCACTGACCCTCTATGCACACCGCTTTGACTTCATGCTGTCACTGTCCCCTATGCCAATGCTGATGCTATCTGTGCCCCCAGGTGCTCATTTCTGAGGGGCTGGGCCTCTTTGCCCGAGACCCACGCTTCGTGGCCCTGGCCAAGCAGGAGATTGCAGATGCGTGCTGCCTGACACTGGATGAGATGGACAGTACCGCCAGTGAATTGCTGGCACAGGGGGCCAGCTCACTCTATAGTGAGGAGGAGTCCATCTTCTCTGGCTTCGATGAGGAGGACCTGGGAGACGAGATGGCCTGCATCTATGCCCTCTGAATTCCCACCCCTCCCCCACTGCTCAATAAACCTCCTGCTCTCCTCCCCACAGAGGGAGACAGGCTTGGACACCCCCCTGTGTTTCGGTATCTTTGCACTGAGGGCCTGGGGCTTCTCAGGGGCCCCATCCATCCATCCTGTTCCAACCCTGAGCCACTGCCCACACATGTATTTCCAGAAACCAGGACAGCCAGGCCCGATTATTCAGCATCAGGGAAGGAGGGGGGAGGAGAAGGAAGAGACAGTGGCCAAAAAAAGCTGGAGACAGAGTGGAGGTGGAGGTGGAGGTGGGGGTGGGGTAGGGGCTGGACAGAGACAAAGAAAAGGGGAGAGGATGTGATAGGGCTTGGATGAGGACAGGGGGACCATCAGAGATTTCACAAGAGGTCAGTCAGATCAGACTGGGGAAGGACAGATGGATAAGAAGGAAAGCATGAGGAAACCCAGAGGAGTGTTCTGTCAGTAGAAAGGCCCACAGGTTAGAATTGGCCTGGCACATGATGCGTCTTGGGCAGAAGGGTCCTCTTCAGGCATTAGGAATTTAAGGGAGGCTATATTGGGATCTCCCTCTCTCCCTCCTCCCACCTGAGAAAAAGAAGAAAATCTAAATCCACTGATAGAAGACATGGGTGACAGCAAAGGGCTGGGTTTCCAACCCAGAGAAGCCACTCAGGGCCCACCTGGATTTCCTGAGACCATCTAAGAGTAACCCACTCTCCTCCCACCCAGATCCCAGAGTTCTTCTTTATGCTTCCTGCTCTACCTTTAGTCACAGCCCAACCTTTGGGGTCTCATTCATTCAGTGACGATTTATCAAGCACTTACTGTGTTCTAAGCACTGTTCTGGGTTTCCCTCAAAGCAAACTGAGCTGGCTTAGAGATGTGACAGGACTTGTCCAGAATGGTAGTCTGCCTCACTTCAAAGGAATTGGAGGCAGTGTTGGGAGTGGTCCAAGATGGGGCCCCCACTGAGGAGGGTCTGACTTAGGGTCTCCTCCCAGCTCTCAAAGCAGGGGCTTGTCATTTGCATAATTTGTGTCAATTCGGCCAGGTCTGAAATTTGGGAGAAACCAGAATTGGAGACAGGAACTCAGAACACAGAGCTACACTAAGCCTTGAAACATGAGTTGGAATTTTGGCCCTGCTGTCTAGAACAAGCACAAAGGCTTGAAGTGGTTGGGCTGCTGTATTGTGGGAATAGCAAGTCATGGGCAGGGCATAGATAGTGAAGGGAGACTGTTGAGGATGAGGTGGGAAATGCTACCTAAGGCCAGTTCTTGCAGAGCTTTGAATGCCAGGCCCCAAGCTCTGGGATTTTTCCTGAAAGCCATGGGGAGCCATGGGAGGGACTTGAGTAGGGTAGTGACATAGTTAACTTTGCATTTTAAGTAGATGCCCTGACAGCTGTGCTGAAAACAAAAAGAAGTGGGGAGAGACTGGAGATGCTAAAACTGGCAGGAATAATGGCGGCCTTAGCCAGGGGAGGTAGCAGAGGAGATGGTGAGAAGTGAGTGGATTCCAGAGATGTGTAGGAGGTAAAATGGACCATTTATTGGACTCTGCTAAGTGCATTACAGTGGTTATCTTGTTTAATCAATACAACTCTATAGGTACCATTATTAAACCATCTTACATGCCCAAGGTCATACAAGACTAAACATTAGAGATGGGATTCAAATTCAAGCAGGTGAGTGCCAAAACCTATGCTCTTTAACCCCTCGTGTATACTGCTTCCCCTAATAAGGCAATATCTGGAAACTCCATTAGATATTTGTGTGAATTTGTACGTGAGTTTTTAAAAATAGGTATACATTCAGATGGTTCAAAATTCAAAAGTACAAATGGGTATGCAGTGAAAATTTTCCCTTTTCTCTGGAGGAAACCAGTGTTATCAGATATATTTTACGCATGTGTAAGATGCTGTGCTGATAAATTAGCACAGTGGTTAAGAGCAACACATGCTGGAGCCAGACTTCCTGCATTCAAATCCTGGTTCCACCACATGCCAGATGTGTCATTTTAGGCAAGTTCCTTCAACTCTCTGCACCTCAGTTTACTCAGCTGTAAGATGAGGATAGTAGTAGTACCTACCTCATAGGGTTGCTGTGAGGATTAACTGAGTAATATATGTGAAGTTCTCAGAACAAAACAGACACAATTTAAATGTTAGCTATTGTCTCTGTGATATAATCCCTCCCTCTTCTTTGTACCCAAGTCCCAAGTGGTTTGGCATCTTTTCACTTAAGTATTGTCTTAGTCATCTAGTGCTGCTCCAACAGAAATACCACAAGTGGATGGCTTTACAAAGAGAAATTTATTCTCTCACAGTCCAGTAGGCTACAAGTCCAAATTCAGGGCATCAGCTCCAGGGGAACGTTTTCTCCATTGGCTCTGGAGGAAAGTCCATGTCATCAGTCTTCCTTTGGTCTGGGAGCTTCTCTGTGCAGGAACCTCAGGTCCAAAGGACGTGCTCTGCTCCCAGCACTGCTTTCTTGGCGGTATGAGGTTCCCACATATCTCTGCTCACCTCTCTCCCTTATATCTCAAAAGAGATTGCATTAAGACACTAATCTTGTCAACCTCGTCAGTATAAACTCATCACAGTGATAGAATTTACAACACATGAGGAGATCACATATAATCTCATCATAGAGGTAGAGTTCACAACACATAAGGAAATCACATCAGATAACACAATCACACAATACTGGGAATCATGACCCAGCCAAGTTGCTACACACACTTTTTGGGGGACACAATTCAATCCGTGACAAGTATCTTGGCAACCATTCTATATCTCCATATTATTATTGATGACAGCTGCATAGTACTCCATTTTATGGTTGTATCAGAGTTTATTTAAACAGGTCACCAGTAATGTGCACTTAGGGAGTGTCCACTCTTTCCTATTATAAACAGCGCTGCAGTGTATCATCTTATGTATACATCTTTTAGTACATGTATGAATCTATTTGGAAACCCTTGTGGCATAGTGGTTAAGAGTTCCTCTGTTAACCAAAATGTCAGCAGTTCGAATCCACCAGGGGCTCCTTGGAAACCCTATGAGTCTATCTGTAAGAGAAATTCTTAGAAGTGCAAATACTGAGCCAAACAGTATATGAACTTGTTATTTTGCTAGAATTTGCCAGATTGCCCCTTACAAAGTTTATACCAATTTCACTTTCACTGGCAATTCATGAGAATCCCTGTTTCTGGCTAACTGGCCAATATAAAACATTGGCAAACTTTCTGACATTCACCAGCTTCAAAGATGAAAAACACTTATCTTAGTAGTTTGTATATGTATTTCTCTTATTATGAGTGAGGTTGAGCATCTTAAATGCCAACTGTATTTTATTCATTGGATTTTGCAACATAATATCACCGTTGACTTTGGTGGGGCTAGTTTTAGTAGCATGAAGGAGGGGTAGTCAATTAAGAGAAGGCTGAGGAATAAATAGGACATTAAGTGTAGGCAGTTGGAGTAGGCAAGAATTTGACTAAGAAGAGAGAAATAGGGGAGATGGTTGGAGGGTGAGGGAGGGGTCTTTGGGAAGTGTTTAAAATTCAAAAGAGATGGGTGATGGTTACACAACATGTTAATGTAATTGATGCCAGTAAGTTGTACACTTGAAATATATTGAATTGTCAAATGTTGTGTTATATATATTTTTACAACAATAAAAAAATAGAAGAGAGAAGGAACCCTCAAGACCTTGAACTATGTTTAAATTGCAGGGACTCTGGATCTTGCCAATTACTAGTTGGGTGACCTTGCGCGAGTCACTTAACCTCTCTGGGACTCATTTTCCTCATCTGTGAAAATAGGGATGATAACAGTCTCTACCACATGGGGTGTTGTGAGGATTAAATGAGTGAACACATTTAACAAAGTCAGAAAAGGCCTGGAAAAATGTCATACTGCATGATCGAGCCGTCCTCCTCTCCCCACACCTCTAGCTGTGTTTTCAGAGTGAATGATTGTTTTAGAACGGTCTCATTGCTCCAGTCTCAGGAATGGAACGACAGGCCCAAGAGACTTCGGCACAGCCCGCGCTGCGCAGCCGCGAGCGGGGGGCCGAGGCGGGGGACGCGAGGGGCGGAGCTGCAGCTTCCTGGGCTGTTCCGGCGATCGCACGCCCCACCCGCCGCGCCTGGCGCCCGCCCTTGCTAACAGGCGCCTTCCGCCCCCCGCATTGCTGATGCTGCTGCTGGCCGACATGGACGTGGTGAATCAGGTATGCGCTCCAGCACCACGGACAGAGCTCGCCGCTCCCCGGCCTCCTGGCCCCGGTCGCACCGACAGCTGCATCTGAGGTGGTGGCAGGGTACTGGCAGCAGAGTCCCGGTCCCCCGGCTCGGGGGTTCGGTATCTGCGGCAGGCGAGGGAAGGGAGGGTGAGATGGAGAAAAGGGGTGCGCTCATTGCCGCAGTGGGAGCCCCCAGAAGCCGCGTTCTTCCCTGGAGTCCTGGGGTGGGGGGAGAGGGGCCCTGGGGCTGGGGTCAGGGCAAGGGGTGCGCGGAGGGGGAGTAGAAGGAAGAGAGGGAGGGGGGCTGCGGATAAGCTAGGAAATAGAGCGACAGAAGGTGCGGGGGTGAGGGAACGGGGGGGGGGTAGGGCTGGTGCCCTTCCCTCCCAAACACAAATGATACCCCCTTAGACGACCTCCAGAGCAGAACTAGGGAGCCGATCTGGCTTTGCCTCTCCAAAACATCAGTTTCTTCTCACCCAACACACATCCAGTGAAGCCATGTCCGAACTCTCCCCCCACCTTAATCAGCCCAGACCCTCTCCGCCATCTCAATCATCTTCACCACCTCAGAACCTCACCCCCTCCCTAACCAGTACCAACCCCTCCCCATCTTCATCACCTAAGACCACCCCCACTACCATCTGACTCACCTTCACCACTGCAGACCCTTCCCCCCCAACCCGACTCCCTCCAAGGTATGACTCACCTTCACCCTCAAGACCCCCTCCCCCACCCTAATGAACACTGACTCTCTCCCCATCCTCCCGCTTTAGCCCCTTTGCCATCTGACTCATCTTTACCGTTTCAAGCCTTCTCCCCTTCCCTAACTAGTCCTAATCCCAACCCCATCTTCCTCACCCTTGACCTCCACTGCCGTCTGACTCATCATCACCGCAAACCTCCTCCCCTAGACCTTCCCCACCAGTCCTAAACCCCGAGGGTCTTCTCTCATAGCCCCTGGTTCTCACACCTTTCCCAAAGTGTCACTTTCTCCCTCTCACCCCTTCTCTGAATGTCACACACTCCCGAGGTCACATGCCCCATCCTCAGGGATCTTCGCCTGGCAGCCTCGCCCCTCACCTCCCTCTCCGCCCCCAACTCCCCCACGCCCTCCCCGCCATTTCTCTCCTCAGCTGGTGGCCGGGGGTCAGTTTCGGGTGGTCAAGGAGCCCCTCGGTTTCGTGAAGGTGCTGCAGTGGGTAAGTGTGGGCCAAGCTACGGGGGAAAGTGGAGGGTGAGAAGGGAGGTAGTGGGATCTTAAAGAGCAGAGGTGGAGTGGAGGTGGGGAGCAAGGAATGGATCCCCATGGGTGAGGGCAGGGGGAATGGGGGAACTGGGTTCCAGAATGAAGTCCCAGGGGCTTGGGGCCAGAGAACAGATGGGCTGTGATGTCACATAGGGCCAAGGGTACCCACATCATGAAGTGGCAGATTGTGATGTCCTGCTTCCCCTCCTAGGTGAGGGAGGGGAGGGGAGGGGAAGCTTGTAGCCCTTTGGGGGGGATGTGAAGCCAGAGAAACCCAGAGACAGTGAAGGAGACAGAGAGAATGAGAGACAGAGAAAAGATAAACAGAGATGGAAATACTGAGGAAAAAGAGATGCAGAGATGAGAGAGAGAGAGAAGGCAAACAGAAAGAGACAAAGGGAGACAGAGACACAGAGAACAGAGATGCAAAGAGAAATAGACACAGTGAAACAGGCAGGAAATGAGGTGAGGGAAAGAGAGAGAGAAAAGAAGCCACTGACACACAGAGAGGCATGAGAGAGACAGACAGAGTGAGAGAGAACCATACAGAGACCAAATGAGAGACAGAGAAAGAAAGAAAGACACAGAGAGACAGACAGAAAAAAGACAGAGGCAGAGACACACATATTGACTAGAGAGTCAGGCAGAGAGAGGAACATAGACAAAGGCAAAGAGACATCTGAGAAAGACAGGCACGCAGAGAAACAGAGACAGAGATGCCAAGAGAAATAGAGACACAGAACAGAGACAGAAACAAATACAGAGAGACACAGAAATTGACTAAGACAGGCAGAGAGAGAGGGAGGAGAAGGGAGGGAAGACTGTGGGGGTCAGAGCAGTGAAAGTAAAGACAGAGGAGACACAGGGAGAGATAGAGGCAAGAAGAGACAGCCATACCCCTGTAATCAGCTTGCCCTTGGACTCGATGAGCCCTGATTACAGAGTGGGGGTGGGGACTGGCCCATCTGCTGCTGCCTGTGATGGGCTCCTGCTCTGTCCAGAGGAGGGCAAACCCCCACACGTGCACACAGGCTCACCGGCCATCCCCATCCCTGCTGCCCAAGGTCTTTGCCATCTTCGCCTTTGCCACATGTGGCAGCTACAGTGGGGAGCTCCGGCTGAGTGTGGAATGTGCCAACAAGACCGAGAGTGACCTCAGCATCGAGGTCGAGTTCGAGTACCCCTTCAGGTGTGCCTACACCCCACCACACCCCTGGGATACCCACAGACCTGGGAGAGGGTAGGGGAGGATCAAGATAGGCCAACTCCTCATCCCTGGTGGCCCCTACCTAGCCCCCACCTCAGGAAATCATACCCGTTCGGGTCACCACCCATGCACTGAGCACCTACCTTGTGCCTGGCACTGCCCTGGACATCTAGGATACTGTGGTAAGCAAGACAGACATAGGCTGTGCCCTCCGGCTATGTTCCAGAGTGAGGAGGGGGCGGAAGACAAGCAATAGACAAGAGTCAAAAGTAAAAGATATTTATTCATCTTAAATAATAAGCACACGGTAGGTGCTCAATTAATGTTAGCCAATATTATCCAATCCCCATTAATTCCATACACATTTTTTGAGAACTTAGTGTATGCCAGGTACTGCTCAAAGTGCAGGGGACATAGCAGTGAACAAAACAGACCTAAGTCCCTACCCTTGTGGAACCAACATTATAACAGATAAATTAATAAAAAGGATAATTGCAAATTGGGAGAAATTCAAGGAAGGGATCCTCATGCAGGGTTTTATGATAGAGAATAATGAGTGCTTCTTAGATATAGGCAATAATTAAACTCAGTTAAACAATTCCGATAGTTCTTGAGCTCATACTGTATGCTGGACACTGCTGGATGCCAGGTATACAAGAATGAGCACAAACAGGCATGGCTGCTGCCCTCCCACAGATATTTACCTCCTGGGGGATGGGAAAACAGAGACCCACAGGCACAATTTCTGGAGAGGCCTCTGAGGGCCTGAGTTCAAATCTAGACTCCTCCATTACTTGGACAAATCACCTAAGTGCTCTAGGTCTCAGTTTCCTCATCTGTAAAAGGGGATAATAACAGTACCCGCCTCACAGAGTTGTGTATAATCAATGAGTTAATACTTGTAAAGGGCGTAGAATAGTGCAGGGCACACAATAAGCGCACCATAAGTGTTGTTAAGCAAAATAAATAGAAAGTAATCAGGAAAGAGGTCATAGACTGAGTAGGAAATTGGGTTTTTCCTGAGCACGTAAGGATAAATGCAGGCTCAGGAAATCACCCAGTGGGGAGAGGGGAAAGTGAAAAGAAATGAAAGCCCAGAACAGGCCCTGAGCAATGATAGAAAGAAGAGGAGCTGCCAGGAAGGCGTAGTCTGAAAGGTAGGAGGGCAACCTGGGAGCCACCTTTTCACAGAAGCCAGAGAGGAAAGAGTTTGGGGAAGGAGGGGTAGTTGGCAGTCATGAAATTCTGGTGAGCCAGCCCCTTGGGAATCCATAAGACCACAGGAGTCCCCTGTGGACCCCCACGCCTCCAACACCTAGGACCTTAAATCCTGATTTTCTGCCCTTTACGCACGTCTCCCAGAGAAAAATCTCTGCCCTGGGTCCCCCTAACCAAGCCTCCTCCCTCACCCCGCTTCCCTGTTACCCTGCAAGGACTCCTCATTCCCCTTTGGTGCCTTGTAGGTGACCAGTAAGTGTTGACTCCTTCCCTCAGGACCTTTGCTACCCAAGGGCACCAGCACCATTTGCTCAGTCTCAGGATCCTGAGGCCAGAGCTTTGGGACTCCACACCAATCCTTCCCCTCCACACATGCCTTCCCAATCTGCCCCTGTCCCCCTCACATACACACATCCTGTCCCAGGATCCCTTCTACGCTCCTGACTTTCTGTTTGTTTCTTCCTGTTTTGTAGTCTCTGGGCTCTCAAAAGCATAGTTTTTTGTTTTTTTCTCTTAGAGACCTGAAGAAGTTTGGGGGGAAGAGTCAACATGATATAGGGGAAAAACACTGGGTTCAAATCCCAACTTTGCCATTTCCTTGCCAGCTATGTGACTTTAGGCAAGTTAATCCACTTCTCTGAGCCTTTGTTTCCACCTCTACATTTCATTCAATAAACATTTATTGAGCGCCAACTATGTGCCCGCACTGTTCCAGGCCTTGGGGATATGGCAATGAACAACACAGAGGAACTCCTGCCCTCTTGGAGTCACAGCAAAAATCAAGATAAATAAGTAAAATACACGGTATGTCAGATGGTGATCACTGCTACAGAGAAAAATGAAGCAAGGAGGGGGGCTAAAGAGTGCTGGTGGAGTTCAGTTTAATTTTAAATAGTGAAATAGAGAAGGCCTCACTGAGAAGGTGATAGTTGAGCAAAGCTTAAAGGAGACAAGGGAATGAGACAAGCATATATCTAGGGGAAGGGCATTCCTGGCAAAGGGAACAGCCAGAACAAAGACCTTGAGGTTAGAGAGTGCCTAGCATGTTCTAAGAGTAACAAAGAGGTCAGAATGGCTGAGTTGGAGTGAGGGATAAATAACATCTATTTCTCCAGAATGCTGTGAGCAATCAATGAAACGTGATTGGTGCATAGTAAGTGCTCTGTGGATGGTTATTTCCTCTTCTTCCTGGGACCTTGTCAGAATCTGGGGGGGGGCCCATGACTGGGCGGGGGTGGGTGAATGAAGGGGTTCTCCAGGGCTGGGCCAAACCTGCCCACTTCTCTCTGCAGGCTGCACCAAGTGTACTTCGACGCACCCACCTGCCGAGGGGGCACCACTAAGGTCTTCCTAGTGGGGGACTACTCCTCGTCAGCCGAATTCTTTGTCACAGTGGCTGTGTTTGCCTTTCTCTACTCCATGGGGGCTCTGGCCACCTACATCTTTCTGCAGAACAAGTACCGAGAGAACAACAAAGGGCCCATGCTGGTGAGTCTCCATAGCCACTTGCATGGAGGGCCATGGGGACACAGAGCCTCAGGGACACAGCCATGCTCATAGGCCACATCAAATTCCAGACAGGCACCCACACAAGCAGCCACCATAACAGCCTCACATGCTGCTACTGTGAGTCCACACCAGGAATCAGGGACATGGAGCCACGGGGTCACAGAGACATACTCACAGCCTACACAGAATCCCACACAGGCCCACACTTGTGAACCTGCCAGCTCTCATACGACCATGCACTCTGGATCAAAGAAAGGCGCACACATAGGCCCCATGTCACAGCCATGCATGTCATCATGCCACACAATCACACTGATTCCTACACAGCTGTACTCATATGCCCTCATCCCAGACACAAAAGGACACAAATTCATACATGCAGATGAAAGTGGAAAGACATATTCCTTTCCACAGATTTGGAAACCATCCCACAGATTCCTCCATCACCCCCACACATATATCACAATCACACTCCCACACCCTCTTGTCATGTACATACACACAAGCCCATGCTGGGAGAAGCATCTTTAGGTGGAAGTGCTGGGGGCTTCAGGGCTTGACAGGCCTCTTCCTGGGGACTCCCACTCCGAAAAGCCTGTGATCGGAGGAGGCCCCATGGCTGGACAAGCAGCAGCCCATTCACGGTGCCATCTCCTCCACCCTCGCCTGCCCTAGGACTTTCTGGCCACAGCAGTGTTTGCCTTCATGTGGCTGGTTAGCTCATCGGCATGGGCCAAGGGGCTGTCAGACGTGAAGATGGCCACAGACCCAGAGAACATTATCAAGGAGATGACTGTCTGCCGCCAGGCGGGGAGCACATGCAAGGAGCTGAGGGACCCTGTGACCTCTGGCCTCAACACCTCAGTGGTGAGCCCTGGGAAGCCGGCTGGGCCGGCTGGAGGGAGGGGCTGGGAAATTTGCGGTCTGATGTGGGGAGCGGTGGAGAGAGAGAATGAGAGAAATCCAAGAAGGCTACCTGGAAGAGGCATGATAAAAACAGAGCCCTGAAGGATGAGATAGGGATTGTGACCACTATGATGCCACAGGTCATCCCCAAGAGAGGACCACAAGACCTACTGTCCAGATTAGGTTTGGGAGAACTTGAGCCCAGACCCAGACTAGTCATGTAGAATCTCTGGCAACTCCATCTCCTCTTGGGACACAGTTTCCTCATGTGCAAAATGAAGAAATAACTTGAAATGTTACCCACTAATCGCTCCCTGGTGGCCACAGTCAGACTGTGTGGGCTCAAATCCCAGCTCTGCCATTTGAAAGCTCTGTGACCTGAAACTCATTACCCTCTCAGGCCTCAGTTTGAGCGTGTAAACTGAAGACTAATAATAGGTCCTGCTCCAAAGTTGAGTATTTAGTAAACTGATAACATACAAAGTGCTTAGGAAAGGGCCTGACATGTGGTAAGTTGTATATAAGTGTTATAGATGTATACCTTTTATATGAATTTATTATATAAATATATAGTTTATACATATTATATATGTAACGTGTGTATAATGTGTGTATATTATATGTATGTATATATATATATATGTATATATATATACACGCGTATAGTATATATGGAGTCCCTGGGTGGTGCAAACAGTTAATGTGCTGGGCTGCTTACCAAAAGGCTGGAGGCTTAAGTCCACTCAGAGGCACCTCAGAAGAAAGACCTGACAAGCTACTTCCAAGAAACCAGCCACTGTAAACCCTATGGAGTACAGTTCTACTCTGACACACATGGGGTTGCCATAAGTTGGAATTAACTCAGCGGCAACTGGTTTTGATTATATAATGTACAAAAAAGACCAAACCAATTGCTGTCGAGTTGATTCCGACTCATAGCGATGCTATAGGACAAAGTAGAACTGCCCCCATAGGGCTTCCAAGGAGCAGCTGATGGATTGAAACTGCTGACCTTTTGGTTAGCAGCTGAGCTCTTAACCACTGTGCCACCAGGGCTCCATATAATATATATACATATATAATTCTAGGATGATAAGATTTCAATATTCTCTTCTGGCACTTGCTGGCTGTATGACCTTGGACAGTTTAGCCTCTCTGGGCCTGTTTCCTTAACTGCAAAATAGAGATATTACTTCTTGTCCCAAAACTGAGTTTTAAATGAGCTAATAACATGTAAAGAGAGCCCTGGTGGTGCAGTGGTTAAGAGATCGGCTGCTAACCAAAAGGTCATGGTTTGGGGATTCGAATCCACCAGCTGCTCTAGGGGAGAAAGATGTGGCAGTCTGCTCTGGTAAAATTACAGCCTTGGAAACCATATGAGGCAGTTCTGCTCTGTCCTACACGGTCACTGTGAGTTGGAATTGACTGGACGGCAAAAGGTTTGGGGGGAATAACATGTAAACTGCTTAGAAGAGGGCTTGTCATATAGTAAACGTTATATAAAATGTTTTATGTGTTATATATTTATATTAAGTCCATATATTTATATTTTAATATGAAAGTACATATATATATTTATGGAGCCCTGGTGGTGCACTGGTTGAGAGCTCAGCTGCTAACCAAAAAGTCCACCAGCCACTCCTTGGAAACCCTATGGGGCAGTTCTACTTTGTCCTATAGGGTCGCTATGAGTTGGAATTGACTTGATGGCAATGGCATATATATATTTATACCTGTGTATTTATACATATATTTGTATATACATATATATGTGTTTATATACATCTATAAGTGGTATATCTATATATTTAATAAAAAATTATGTTTACATTTAACTAAACATATTACAAATTTAAATTTATGTATACTATTATTATATACATGTAAAAACGTGTATATATGTAAACGTATGTGCAAATATGTAAATACCTATATATGCAATACTGATAGATCTCAACATCACCAGAAATCTGAATTCTAATACTCCTCCTCCCTGCCTCCCACACACACACAAAGTAATTTTTCTGCACATTGACGTTCTCACGGTGGGACTTGAAGGGTCCAAGTTTCAGAAACCACTACCCTCCGGGAGCTCCTACATCCTTGCACCTCGCCCATTCCTGCGCTCGGCCTCGACGTTCCCCAGGGCCGTCAAGGCAATGGGCGTGGGCCGACAGCCGGGCCTTGTCTCCCCACAGGTGTTTGGCTTCTTGAACTTGGTGCTCTGGGTCGGCAACCTGTGGTTCGTGTTCAAGGAGACAGGCTGGGCCGCCCCGTTCCTGCGCGCGCCCCCTGGCGCCCCCGAGAAGCAGCCGGCGCCCGGGGACGCCTACGGCGAGGCGGGCTACGGGCAGGGCCCCAGCGGGTACGGGCCCCAGGATTCGTATGGGCCCCAAGGCGGCTACCAACCCGATTACGGGCAGCCCGCCGGCAGTAGCGGCTATGCGCCCCAGGCCGACTATGGGCAGCAAGGCTACGGCCCGCAGGGTGCGCCCACCTCCTTCTCCAATCAGATGTAACCTGGTGAGTGACTGGCGGGCGGTGCGGCCAAGGAGGGTACAAAGAAGGAGACGGGCGGGTCAGTGAAGCAATAAAAGGCAGGAGAAGACATGCACTTAGGGAGCTTGCCGGGCAAGTAAGGGCGGAAGTATGCAGACTCCAAAAGAGGCAGGGCTACAGCTGATAGAAAAACTAGCCAATGAATAGAGAGCAGAAGGGTGGTGCTTGAAGACAGGTGGAATGAAGAACCAATGGGAGAAAGAAGTGCAGCTCTGCGGGAAAGGGAAAGAGAAGCGGGCAGAGCAACCAACGACAAGAGGAAAGTTGCGCAGTTGCGAATCAGCGGAGTGCAGGAGCCACGGAAGGGTAGAAGAGGTGGGCCTTAGAAGTTATTGATGAGCCAATAGGAGATAAGACCAATGGTGATGCTAAACGGGCTTGGGTCCTGAAGGTCAGACGAGCTGACCAATCTGGGAGGAGGTGTTAGATCTGCCGCCCTTCCCCAACCCTTGAGGTGAATGAATGAGGTGGTGTGGAATTTCAAAGAAGGAAAAGGGGCGGGGCGGGAACACTAGAAAGACTTGAGGGCCTTCGTGCTGAGCCTTACAGGAGAAGTGAGGGGTCCCTGGCTGACGCAAATGGTTAAGCTCTGGACTACTAACCAAAAGGCGGTTCAAACCTACCCAGAGGTGCCTCAGAAATAAGGCCTGGCGATCTGCTTCCAAAAGGTCACAGCCTTGAATACCCTGCACACATGGGGTCGCCATAAGTCGGAATTGACAATAACAACAAAAGAGAAGTGAAGTTTCCATAGACTGATATGAGGGGAGAAAGTGGGAAGAAAAGGTGTTGTTTCTGGTAGGGGGATGGCAGATGGGGCAACACGTGGGTGGGGGTAGTTTCTGGCACTGGGTTGGTGAGAATGGAAAGGGCAGGGAGGAGTTTTTAGGCATCCCACATCTAATTCATCAAAAAATCTTGTTGGCTCTACCTTCAAAATAGATCCATAATTCTCCCACTTCTCATTAATCATCTCTCCCCTAGATCTATACACACACTTCCACTCCTACACACACACCTCCACTCACTGACATTCTGTTTTGCTCACAGCATCCAGAGAGATTCTGTTAAATCCTAAATCAGGCCAGGACCCTCCTCTGCTCAGAACTCTGCCACAGCTCCCAACTTTCTCAGATTAAAAGCCAAAGTCCTTGCTGTGGTTACTTTTCTGACCTCACTTCCTACACTCTCCCCCTCAATCACTCTGCTGCAGCCACACTGGCCACCTTGTTGTTCTCAAGCATTCCAGGCACAGTCCAGCTTCAGGGTCTTTGTACTTGATTCTTTCTTTGCCTGGAGTTTCACAGCCACACACACTGATAACCTTACCTGGCCAGCACATTCTCATCCTTTTGGTCACTTAGAGAGGTCTTGCCTGACTACCCTGTCTAAAAGTTATTACTGTGCTTTTCTTTATCACAACCTTCAATTATTAGTTATATGTTTGTTGACTGTCTCCCCAACTAGACTAGGGGATGTGACCATGCCTTATTCATGTTGTACACCCATCACCTGGAGCACTATTAATGTTAAGAAACATTTATTGAGTAAATAATAGAAACAACATAGCATAAAACATTTTACTCTTCTCTGCTCAAAACCCTCCCACTGCTCACACCTCATCCAGAATCAAGGCTAAAGTCCTCACAACCTGGTCCACAAGGCCCTGTATAACCCCATTACCTACCTGTCTGACCTCACCTTCTACCACTCTTCCCCTCACTCATTCCACTTCAGCCCCTCTGGCCTCCTTGCTGTTCTTCAAATACACTAGACATGGTCCCACCCACGGACTTTTACACTGGTTTGTTCCCCCTGCCTGGAATGCTCTCTCTGCACCCCCCATCCATCTGTGTGGCTCATACCCTCACCTCAAGCCTTTACTCAAATCTCACTTCCTCGATGAGCTCTTCCCTGACCATCCTATTTAATATAGCAACCTTCACGTCTTGGCAACTCCTAATCCTGCTTACCCTGTTCGACTTTCCATTTTTTCCATTTCACTTATTATCTCCTTATGTCATACAACATAATTCACTTACGCATCATGTTCATTGTTTGAAGTCTATCTCCCCCTGCTACAATGTAAGCTCCCCCCAAACAGGGACATTTGTTTTGTTCAATTTAGTTTATTATCAATGGCTAGAACAGTATATTAATGGACTTTATTTTTTTTTTTTGGAGAGGGGTCCACCTTGCCTATTGAGAGCAAGATCAGGGATATCTTCCCATTAGGGGCTGCTGGGATGAACTCAAAGGGATATGAGTGAAGGGGGAATAAAGGAATAAAAGGCATGTCAGGCAGAGAGTGCAGCCTAACTCCTCCCTGAGGGCACCACCTGTGTCTGGGCATCCTCTCCTTTCTGTTTCTTTTGTCTCCACAGGTCAGTACAACCCAGGAGGACCCACGGGTGGGCAACAGTTCAGGAGAAGGCCTGCCCCCCTCCCCACCCCACACCCTAGGTCTCCACCCCTCAAGTTAGGAGACTCTGTCTTTGCTGTTTATATATATATATATATATATATATATATTTCTGTCTGAACCCTGCTGTCACTCCACTGTTCCCCATGCATTAGGGGCCCGGTCTTGAGTGGGCCCCTCTCTTAACCCTGTCCCTTCCCCTGTATTCCTCAGCCCCTCTCTGCTCCCCAACCCTGTCCCCTGAGGTTGGGGGCTCTGGAAGGGGACAGGGAGGGGACAGACCTTGGCTGCGTGGGGAAGGTGAGTGTAACTTCAGGCTCTCTCCCCTCTCTCCCTCCCTTTCTCCCAACTCTGGCCTTGGTTCTTCCAGCAATGCCTGAACAGGGGCCATTAGGGGAAATTCAACCCTGAGAGTGGGAAAAAGGCAGAGACTGGGGAGGGGGCTTGGGGTGGAGAGGACAACTTGGGACCCAAGGGTGGTCTTGGAGGGAAGCTCTGGAGGGGAGGGGACTAGTTAGCAGGGGATTTGGGTTCCACATATACTGGAGTCTAAAGAAGAGGGGCACCCTAGAGCATTCTGGTGGCAAGGCTTGGAAGGAGTCTGAAGGTGTGGTTTGAGAAGGGGTGGGGCTTTAGAGTAGGACTCTGTTCAATGGAAGGGGTGTGACTTGGGACTCTGAAGGTGGCTTGGAAGAAGTCTGAGGGAGTGCTTCTAGAGGGGTAGGGCTTGAATCAGCAGTAGGTGAGGCTCCAGAGTAGAGAGGACTTGGACTGGAACCATAGTCTATGGAAGGGGTGTGGCTTGGAACATACAGCAGGCTGAGCTTGATTCTAAAGGGGGCAGATCTTGAGCAAGACAAGAAGCGGAATTCAGGAAGGGGCCACACACACCTGGGGTGACGGTCATGGTCATGGTCTAGATGGACAGGGGCTTAGAGCGGGGCACGGATGTTGGTTTCAGAGGGGGCAGACCCCCCAGTGGGGTAGTGAAAAATGTTTTAAAGCCAGCGGGCTTGGGCAGTAGGGGATGGGGAGGCTTGGTCTGTGGCTGCGGGATATGTTTTGTTGGGGATGCCCCTTGACAAGCTAGGGATAATGCCCTGGGCAAGTTTGTGAACAGGAGTAGCCTGGGGAGAGCTGACAGGTATGGGTTGGAGGGTGAAAGGTGGGATCTAGAGAGAAGTACCCCCACACCCTTGCCCATCTCCATGACGGGACAGCTAGGAAATCAGAGGACAGAGCCAATAGGTCTGTGGGGCCAGCCCACCCCGTTCTCTTCCTCCCTCCTCCTTCAGCCTCTCTCCCTCCACCCCCCACCCCCGAGTCCCTGGGGTAGTTGGAGGCCTGGTCTGGAGCCCCTATCCTACACCCTCTGCTGTGTCTGTGACATCGGTAGTGCCTGTGATCATGTGTTGCCATTTTGTCTGGCCGTGGCCCCTCCCCCTCCCCTCCAGGCCCCCCTTCCCCCTCACGCCCTTCCGTATTTTTCGGAGACCCCCTCCCCGAGGAAGAACAAATATGATTAATTCTCCTTCCCTAAATAAACTCCTCAACCACCTAGTCAACCTGGCTCTGACTTCTCTGTGTGTCTTTTGGAGGGGGACAAGGGAAGAGATGCGGGAGAGGAGGTGGGAGGAAGCTCTGCCTCTGACTTGCTAGACACCTTCCCAGTTGCCCCACCATTTTGGGCCCCTCCCAGAGTATTATGCCAAGCTCCACCCTCTGCGAAGCCTTGCTACCCATCTAAGTCACGCGCTGAGTAGTCCTGCCCACTGACCCAGCGAATCCCGTCTTTCAAGGGCTTGGTTCAAATTCTGGTCCCTTAGTCCTGCCTCTTCCCAACCCCTATGGAGCCTGCCATCAAATCCTCAAGAGGTCCGAATATTACCACCACACTTCACAGCGAGACCCCACCCTACCCCTCCTCCGTATTCTTCAGACCCTGCTATCTCTCCATTTCCTTGCCTCCGCCCCAGCTGGAAAACCGGGAGACCAACTAAGCAGCAAGGCCGGGAGGCGGGGCGCCGGAATGAGTCACTCGTTAATTACCTCATTCCCGCCACAGCTCCTGGTTCCTCCCTGGGGCAAGGAGGGGCGGGAAGTGACAAGGATATGTGTAATGGTGGGAGGAGGGTGGTCCGCCGGCGCCCAAGATGAAAGGTCCGGCTGACCACCACCGGCCGCCGCCATGCCTAATTAGAGACCCCTGCCAGGCGCCAGAGTTCTAACCGCGGTTCGGGAATCCCCTCCTCCCAGCCCGGAGGCACAGCAAAGCCTGAGAGCGCGGAGGAGAGACTCCCAGCTCTGGGACTAAAACTCAGGGAACCGGATACTGAAGAGAGAAAAATGGAGGCGGTAGAGGGAAGGCTTTAAGATCGTCTCAGGACTTAGGGGGCATGACAGCTGGGGTTCTACGGATAGGGAGAGGCAGGGAAAGAGGGCCTGGGAACCTGGCCAATGACTTTAGCCCTTTCCCTATAATCTCATATAATCTTGGTACGGGGAGGAGAATGAGAAAGGGGTATATAAAACCTAGTTTTGTGATAAGGGCAAGGAAGCACGAACTGGGGCTGCGGATGGGGTTGGGGATCATTCTTGCCCCATTCGTCTGGGGGAAAGAGACTCTCAGAACATCACCAGTGGGGAGGGGGCCAAGAAGTGTCTTTAACCCATCCCCCAAATAAGCATTCCAGATAAATCGACACGAAGTGTCAATATAAGTACCCTAGCGGGCCACCCCTTCCAGTCAGGTCGCCGCCTCCAAGCACCCCCCGCCCCATCCATACACACTCTACAGAGCTCTCAATCCCTAGAGTGCCGGATGAGAAGCCCCGTGGCACATTGAGTTTCGGGGGCCTGTGTCTTCTGATGCCCAGCTCTGGCCCGGGGCGGGAGGGCAGGGGGCTTTCAGGTACCGCACTCCTGGGCTGCTTGACTCTTACCTTTAGACATGGGGCGCCTGGTCGGGGGACAGACAACAGGCCCGGGGGCGGGCCCTGCAAGGCGCGCTCCTCCCAAGCCGGTGTCAAGTTTACGGAACCGAGCTCCCCGGCTGGACGCGCGGCGGCCTGACGTACGCGAGGATTCCATTAGCCTGACCTGGTCCGGCCTGACCCTGCCCGGACGCGCCATGTTCGCGCGTGGGTCCCGGAGGCGTCGCTCCGGGCGCGCGGTGAGCGGGACTCAGGGCAGCGGTGGGGGCCAGGGGTAAACTGAGGCCCAGGCGAGGGGGCAAGGGATAGGGATATCGAGGAGGTGCTTGACGAAGGATCATTGGAACCCCCAACCCCAGAATCCCCAGACCCGAGGGGCTGGGGTTGCTGGAGGCGTGTGGGTGGAGGAACTTCTAGATCTGGTGGCCCATGTTCTCTAATCCCCTCTTCACCCACATTTATCAGCAGCCCGGAAACCTAGTGTGCTCCCCACTCGTGTGAATTATGGGAGGGGATTCTGAGGGTCAAAAGATTGGGTCCTGGGGTCCCGGGCTGAGCAGGGACCTCCTGAGCTTCTGAGGGAGGAGGCCCCCTGTACCTTGGGGGAACATAGCCTGAGGAGTGGGGTCCTACCTTTTGGGGTGCCTGAATGCTGAAGGTTTAGAGACTGGGATTTGGGGGAAGAGGGCTTCCTCCTGAGCCAGGGAGCTTTTGACTTCCTAGATAGGAGGGTCTCTCTTCCTTTGGAGGGGATTTCTGACTTGGGAAGGTGGAGTCTGGGTTTGGTGGTACAGTGAAGGAGTGAATAGTCCTAGGATCTGAGGAGTGAGGGCCAAGGCTTCTTGGGGTGGAGGTTTCTGAATGGAACAGGGGCTTCCTGAGGTCGCGGGGGAGGGTTCCCAGTTCCTTGGGGATGAGGCGATGAAGCCAGATTTTTGAAGAGGGGTTTCTGGCCAGAACAGGTAATTGGGATTCCTGAGGGTGGCGCTGTGATGAAGAGCTATGGCTGCTAACCAAAAGGTTGGCAGTTCGAATCCACCAGCCGCTCCTTGGAAACCCTATGGAGCAGTTCTACTCTGTCCTATAGGGTCGATATGAGTCGGAATCGAGTCGACGGCACTGGGTTTGGTTCTTTTGATTTTGAGATCCTGAAGGGAGGGGCTGGGCTCATGTGGGGATCCCAAGGAAGAGTGGGGTCCCAGACTCCTAAGTTGTGGAAACTGAGTGTTGCTGGCCTCACGGTTGGGAGGGGCTGCGGCTGAGGCCTAGGAGGGGACGTCCTGATTAGAGACTGCTCTGGTGGAGATAGTACTCCGAGTTCTGGGGGGGTGTTTGAGGCCTGGAGGGATCCGAGGCTGGGTAAAAGGGTCGTAGGTCGGCCTGGGGAGGGGAATTCCCCGAGAAATGGGCATATAGATAGGGAGGTGGCCTTAGCTGCCCCACCTCTGCCTCGGTCGTGTCCCCTCCCCCGGGCTCCAGGCGCTGTCCCAGCCTGCCCAGCGCTGCTCTGGTAGGACAGGCCCCAGCGTGCGGTCCGGGGCTCTGGAGTGGAGAGGCGGGCGTTGACTTCTCCCTCCTTGACTCTCATCGGGTCCCGCGTCTGCCTCGGCCCACTACAGCCTCCAGAAGCAGAGGACCCAGACCGTGGCCAGCCCTGCAACTCCTGCAGGGAGCAGTGCCCCGGCTTCCTGCTGCATGGCTGGAGGTAAGTGACCCCCAAGGTCCCGCCTTAGTCAGAGGGAGGCCTTCCGGGAAACCCTCTGAGGCTTAGGCCACGCCCTTAGACTTGAGCTTCACTCACAAAGACGCTCAGTTCCAGAGAGCCTAAAGCTCAAATTTAGATCCCAGACCCTGACTCATTCCGGAGTCCTGTTCCTAGGAGAGTCCCACCCACTACTCAGCCCCGCACCTGAAAGTGTCTTTCCAAGATTCTGAGTCCCAGCCCGAGGAAGATCCTCCGATCCAGGCTTAGAGCACCGCCCACCAATCTCCAGCCACTCCTCCACCCTTAGGTTCAGAACTCCTCTCCCAGACCCAGTGTCCTATCCTCCTACTGGAGTCCTGCACCCAAAAAGTCTCATAAAATACTGCAGATAGAGCCCACAGCCCCCAGACTCAGGGCCCTAACAACAGGCTCAGAGCCCTGCCCACAAGTTCAGAGCCTCATCACAGGCTAGAGCCCCACCTCTAGAGAAAGTTTCCCACAATATACAGAGCCAGTTCTGAGGGGAAGCCCCTAGATTTATAACTCCAGTCTCAGTCTCAGATCCCGCCCTACTCAGGCCCTGCTGTCCGGGAGAGTCTGACCCAAGACCCAGAGTGGAAAGGTCAATGGGTGTCCCTTAGGCCCCGCAGCCCCATCGCTTCACATCCTGCCCTCAGGCTCACAGCCCCTTCCACAGTTCACAGCCTTGCCCTCAGCTGGAAGCTAAGTTGCTCACAGCCAGCGCCCTCTTCCCACAGCCCGCCCACAGCCAAGACCTCAGCTCACAGCCAGACCTCCTCTCAGCCCCGCCCCCAGGTCCAGAGCCCTGTGACGGCTCAGAGCCCTGGATTGGTGATAATCCTGATGATAGTCCCTCAGCTGGGCTTCCTTGGGCTGCCGAGGGATCCAGGTGGGCAACCCCGTTAGTAACTGGCTCCCATCCCAACCCCCTTAGAAAGATCTGCCAGCACTGCAAATGCCCGCGGGAGGAGCATGCGGTGCACTCGGTGCCTGTGGACCTGGAACGCATCATGTGTCGGCTAATTTCAGACTTCCAGCGCCACTCCATCTCCGACGATGACTCAGGCTGTGCCTCTGAGGAGTATGCGTGGGTGCCCCCGGGTCTCAAGCCTGAGCAGGTGACCAGAGCCTGGCCACCCTCTCTCTTGTTCTCCAATGAGTACACACACACACTGGCCACCCTATCTCTTGTTCTCCATTGGGTACACATACACACACACGCACACACACACGCATGTAGGCACGCATGCACCCGCTCAGGTGGGAACCTGTTATGCTGTTTCTGGGGAGTGCCAGCGTGCGTGGTCAGACTGCAGGTGTCCTTCTGACCCTTCTGTGATCTAGGGGTGGTCAGCTCCCCACACTTCACTGGGAACTCTGGGTCATCACTAGACTAGTTCCTCAGGGCCTGTTCATCGCGCTCCTATTTTACCCCTTACCTCAGGCAGGAGGGGATTATCCAATAAGCAAGGTAAGCAAGAGCTTACTTGTGCTTATTTACTAATCTGTAGGGAACAATTAATAAGTAAACACAAGTTAGCCCATGCTTACCTTGCTTATTGAATAATTCACCCCTGACCTCAGGCTTTATCCCAGCACTTCATTCACCCCGTCTCCAGTTGATTCCTCCATTCAACAACTATTTATTGAGCACCTACTGTGCGTCAGACACTGTCCTAAGCATTGAGGACACAGCTTTGAAAACAAAAATATCTCTGCCTACACAGAGGATAGATTCCAGGAGGGAACAACAGCTAATAAAGAAACCTGTAAATATATGTCAGATGGTGCAAGGGAAGGGGGAGTGGGGAGAAAGAGAAATTAGAATTTTAAATAGGGTGCCCAAGTATGCCTCTCTGAAAAGCTGATGTCTGAGCTTCCCTGCAGGAGATGAGGAAGTGAGCCATGCAGATATCTGGGGTAAGAGCTATCCAGGCAAATAGAATAGCCAATGCAAGGTGGGAGTGTGCATGTATGAGGAACAGTGAGGAGACCAATGAGGCTGCAGCAGAGTGAGAGGAAGAGTGGTTGCAAATGAGGTTAGAGAGATGATGGGGGGCATGGAGAGGACTTTGGCTTTTACTCAGAATGAAGGGGAAGCCACAAGAGGATTGTGAGCAGAGGAGGGATGTGATCTGTCTTATGATTTAACAGGATCCCTCTGGCAGCTGAGTGTAGAACAGACTGTAGGGGCAACAGTGGAAGTAAGGAGACCAATGAGGAGGAGGCTACTGCAATAGCCCAGGTGACTGATGATGGTGCTGGCAATGGAAGTAGTGAAAAGTGGTCAAATTCTGGAAATAGTTTGAAAGTAGAGCTAGAGGATTTGCTTGTGGGGGTGAGAGAGAGAGGAGTCACAGATGACCCTAAGGATGGAGTTGCCATTAACTGATATGGGGAAAGCCAAGGCAGGAGCAAGTTTGAGGGATAAGACCTTAAGTTTAGTTTCGGGCATCTTGAGTTTGAGATGCTTGCTAGACATCTAAGTGGCGATGTTGACTGGAACTCAAAGGAGGGGACAGGGCTGGAAATACGCATTTGTGAGTCATTAGCCAATAGATAGTATTTACACCCATAAGGTTGAATGATTTTTATGGAGGAATAGATGGAATCACATGTCCTTCAAACAATCCTCCCTAAATAGTGTTTCTCTCAGCAGGGCTTTGGAGAGGACTTGGGCAGCAGGCAGTTGAAGCTTAGACTATGAGTACTGTGTTTTGCTGATTAAGTGTAGACCAAGCCTCAAACTTTCTATCCAGCTTGTGCCCACATTTTGTGACCCAGTGAACATTCTTCAAGTCAAAAGAGAAAGAATGAATAAGTCATGTCAAATGGACCTCAACAAAAATATTTTTTTTAAATTCTTACAAGTAGAACTTGCATTGATGTTGAGGGAGGAAGAGAATGTGAGGAGAGGAAGTGGAGACAGCAAATACAGACAACTCTTTTGAGGAATTTTTCTGTAAAGGGGAGGAGAAAAATGGGGCAGCAGCTGGAGGGAGAAGTGGAGTCAAGACATGAGGGAACTCTAGGCATATTTGTGACCTGACAGAAATGATCCGACCTGTAAGAAGGAGCGGTGAGGGAGTGAGTAGAAGTTTCCTCTGATGACTTTTTCTCAGAGAAGTAGGGACCCACCATCAATTGCATCTCAACTCACCCCAGTCTCAATTGTTTTCTCCTATCCCCCATGCCCTCCAAGGTATACCAGTTTTTCAGCTGCCTCCCAGAGGACAAGGTCCCCTATGTCAACAGCTCCGGGGAGAAATACAGGATCAAACAGCTACTACACCAGCTGCCACCACATGACAGTGAGGTGAGGAGAAGATAGAAAGGAAATGCCAGTAGGGAGCACAGCCTGGGTAAACGTAGGGCAGCTGGAAAGAAATGGGTAGGGTCTTAGGAGGAATAGGTGAGCTGATCTGAAGTGAATTGAGGTCAATGGTCTGGACAGGCAGGGGCAATCAGGGGACACTCCTTGGCAAAACCACAGATGGGCCTTGGAAGAAGTACCCAAATCCAAAACCCACTGCCGTCGAGTCAATTCCAACTCACAGGGACTCCACAGGATTTCCAAGGCTGTAAATCTCTATGGAAGTAGACTGCCACATCTCTCTCCTGAGGAGTCACTGGTGGTTTCGAACTGCCGACCTTTCAGTTAGCAGTCGAGTGTTTTAACCACTGCACCACCAGGGCTCCTTTGGAAGAAGTAAGGGGTGGCTATTGTAGGCACGAGGTGCCATCTAAACAAAGGCCTAGAAGTAGACTTTTTGAGGATGGATAAAATTTGGAAGAAGGTGGGGGCAGGCATCGAAGGAGGAGCCTGGAAGACCCCTACTCCCCCCAGGTACACTACTGCACAGCACTGGAAGAGGAGGAAAAGAAAGAGCTCAGGGCCTTCAGCCAGCAGCGGAAGCGGGAGAATCTGGGACGTGGCACTGTGCGCATCTTTCCCGTGACCATCACTGGGGCCATCTGTGAGGAGGTGAGCCATGGAGGGCCTAAGCAAGTGAGCAGTGCCTTTGCTGTAAGCCTCGGGGTGTAGGGTCCATCTCCCAGGCCCTCAGGATAGGAGGCCTGTCACTTAGACCCTAGTTATGTCTCTAGGGTACCCTCTGGTGATGGAGATGGATTCTGTCCCTCAAATCCTTGTGTTGGACGAGGACTGTCTCTAAGGACCCTGATAGGTGAGGGCTTATTCCTCAGATCCCACTGTTGGCCAAGGTCTGTCTCTAAGTAGGCCCTACTGGGTAGTACCTTCTCTATGGTTTCTTCCCCCAACCCAGGTAGTGACGTGGGTGTGGACAGTCTCTATGATCCTGCTATGGTTGGAACTTGCCCTTAAGAACTGACACACAGTGGCAAAGCCTGTCTCTGGAGCCCAGTAGTGGGTGGAATTTGTCTCCAGGTTCCCCTTGGTGGGTGGGACCTGTCCTCAGATCCTACTATTAGGTGAGGTCTGTCACTAAGGTCTTGGTGGGTGGAGACTATCTCTATAATCTCCCACAATGGGAGTGGCCTATGTCTATGGTTTCCCACCCCCTGTGGACAGGGCTTGCCTTCAAGGTCACCCACAATGGGTAGGGCCTGTCTCAAAGTTACTTTGTGGCACAGCCAGTCACAAAGGCCTGCAGATGGGTGTGAAAGGTGAGTAATAGTAGTAGCACCAGAACCTGTCTAACTTCAGGGGGGATAATGACCAGGATCATCCCAAAGCTGATTCCCATGAAGTGGAAGTCAGACACACCTCCACCCTCCAACCTTTTTATCAATTCTGACACCAGCCGACCCTTCCACAGCACTTACTACTTCTCTTCTAAGTTTGATAATCCATTGCAATGGTCACACAGAACTCACAAACCATACTTACAACTAAATGGTTTATTAAGCAAGTAACAGGGTACAACTCAGGATCAGGATCAACAGGCTACAACTCAGGATCAGGATCAGGAAGCATGTAGGCAGTCTCTCTTCTTCAGTGCAGGACAGTTCTCTCAGCTCCTCTCGGCTGTGCAGGCCTCCTCTCAGCCTTCTCAGGACAGGTTCCTCTTGGCCTTGCCATCTGTCACTACCAACTCTGCTGCTGGACCCCTTCCAGGCCTATCACTGTCTTCAGTGTTACAGCCCTTGACCCATGTTACAGCTCTTTTAGGAGGTTCCTTGCCTGCTCTTTCTCTCTTCTCTCTTTTTTCTTCTTCTGCTTCTGTCTGAAAAACCTCTGTGCAGTTGGCTGCATATATACACAAACTCCTTGTCAATTTCAAGGTATAGCCCTCCCACTAGGGCCATGAACTGACCAATCCACTCTCAGTAGGCCACAGACACTTCATTTGCATAGTCTATTGACCAATCCCTGCAAGGTGCATACCAATCACAGGGCAGACTGCAGCTGAAGATCAGACAAAAAGCATCAAACCACAATTTGTTTACAGCTTACCAGGAAATATCAATCAACCTGGACAAAAGTAACAAACCCTGTGGGGTAGAAAACTGGAGAAAGGTAACTCCTCAAGGCTTAGGGGAAAAATCTCTCAAGCTGTTTTTCCAAAGAACCAAGGCAAAAAGCCACATAAAGGAACTCATTTCACCACAATGGGGAGGCTCAAGTGTGGCATGATTCCATACATCTGACCATCTTGGTGATGGTGACAGTGTCTGTCATTTGGCAGTGTGGGAAGCAGATTGGAGGTGGGGACATCGCAGTGTTTGCCAGCCGTGCAGGCCTGGGTGCCTGCTGGCACCCACAGTGCTTTGTGTGTACCACGTGCCGGGAGCTGCTTGTGGACCTCATCTACTTCTACCATGCTGGCAAGGTCTACTGTGGTCGCCACCATGCCGAATGCCTGCGCCCACGCTGCCAGGCCTGTGATGAGGTGCGTGCCTCCCTGTCCAGGGGTGGGGTGGAGGGGGCAGGGGCAGGACCTTCTGACAGTCACAGATGGCCTCCTCCCAGATCATCTTCTCCCCTGAGTGCACAGAGGCCGAGGGCCGGCACTGGCACATGGGTCACTTCTGCTGCTTTGAGTGTGAAGCATCACTAGGAGGGCAGCGCTACGTCATGCGTCAGAGCCGACCTCACTGCTGCGCCTGCTATGAGGCCCGCCATGCGGAGTACTGTGATGGCTGTGGGGAGCATATCGGTGGGTGAACATGGAACTGGACAAAGGGATAGATTGATAGCTGGGCCACATCCCCACCCCACCAGGATTTCTCCTGTCCTCCAGGTCCCATTCTCATTATGCCCTATACTCTAAGTCTATCCCCATAGGCCTAAATCCTTCCCTGCAAGTCCCACCCCCAACATACTGCCTTATGCCATACTTTGTAAACCTCACCTATACCACACTAGGTCATGAACTACACATCTAGGCCTACCTCCAGAGTACCCTCTAATTCCCAGCCCCCCAGGCGACATCCTACCCTCTAAGCCTATCTCCTGCTATCCCAAGCTATGTCTTGTTCTCTAAGACTCTCGCCAGCCCATCAGCCTAGGTTAGGTACTACCTTTTTAACCAATACCTTGCCCTGTAAGACTCAGTCTTTAACCACTAAGACCACCCCTACCTGCTAAGCCCTGCTCCCCATCTAGGCCTCAGCCTTCAGGTCCAGCCTTCCACCCTCCTTCCACATGAAGCTACCCTTAATGTCTAAGCCTGGCCCACATCTTAGAGTCCAATGCCCGCCCCCACTCAGGGCTAGCCTTCTGGGAAGGGCACTCTGGGAAAGAAAGGGAGGAGAGAAGGTGGATGAGGAATCCTGGGTAAGGACCAAACCTTGGATTTCCTGCCTTCTCCCAAGAAGGGCCCTATTCCAGAAAGATGAGGAGGGTGTCCTGGGGCACCCTGCCTCAGATTGATTCCCTGCTTCCTCCTGGAAAAGGCTCCATTCAGGAGAGGGTGGGGGTGTGCCTGGGGACTCTGCCTCAGTGTTCCCCCTCTTGCCCTGCAGGCCTGGACCAGGGCCAAATGGCTTATGAGGGCCAGCACTGGCACGCCTCAGACAGATGCTTCTGCTGTAGTCGCTGCGGGCGGGCCCTTCTGGGCCGCCCCTTCCTGCCCCGCCGTGGCCTAATATTCTGCTCACGCGCCTGCAGCCTCGGGCCAGAACCCACTGCTCCAGGGCCCGGCAGCCGCAGCTGGAACGCAGGCACAGTCTCCGCACCGCTCGCGGCCTCCACAGCCTCTTTCTCTGCTGTCGAGGGGGCATCGGAGACGGCCACCAAAGGCACCAGCACCGAGTCAGCGCCTGGTGAGCCTCTTGGGCCCTGTCCAGTCCCGGCCCCGCCTCAACCGTGGACCGTCCCCTTGACTCGCCCAGGCCTTTCACCTGCCTCATCCCTGGCCCGCCATCCCCTCAGCCCAGGCTCCATCTCCGTACCTTTCCAGGCCCAGTCTCCAGCCCAAACTATATCCCCTTGGTGAACCCTAATTCCCCCCTCCTTCTGTACCGGCCCTGTCCTCTACCTCAACTTGTCCCTGCCTGAGCCCAAGTTCCTTCTCCTTTCTTCAACCTTCCCTCTTCTATCACAAAACTTGTCGGCTCCAGCCTATGCCCCGCCCCTCTTCATCTGAGGCCACTCCCCTATACCCTGACCCAGCCCCATGCATCGGTCCAGTCTTGTTCCTCCTCCTGCATTCTTACTTCCAACCTCCTCTTCTCCAGCCAAAGCCTGCTCCAGGCATTGTACTCCTTGGACCTCCCACCTCCCTGCTCCTTTCCGACCCCTATCCCCACTTTCCCACTCCTGATGGAGGGGAAATGGAGAGAAGGCCCTTCCACAGGCCTCCCCGCGGAGGTGACCAGGGGAGGGCAGACACAAGGAATCGCTCCGTCTCTCCCTTTCCAGCTGCAGGTCCTGAGGAGCCCGTCCGCTTTCTGCGAGGGGCTCCCCACCGCCACTCCATGCCTGAGCTGGGGCTCCGAAGTGCCACCGAGCCACCCCGCCAGCCAGACCCGCGCCTGGAAGACGGTGCCTTCGGCCGCCACAGCGCCCCGCGCGTCAGCTTCCGCGACCCTCTGGTGTCTGAGGGAGGCCCGCGGAGGACCCTGAGTGCGCCCCCAGCCCAACGCCGCAGGCCACGCAGTCCCCCGCCCCGGGCCTCCAGCCACCGCCGCCGTCAACACCACCATCGCCGCCGCCTTCCGGGCAGACATAGACACCAATGCGATTTAGGATCGGGGTCGGACTCAGGATCTTGCTCCAGCTCGCCCTCCAGCCCCAGTTCTGAGTCCTCAGAGGACGACGGCTTCTTCTTGGGGGAACGCATCCCGCTGCCCCCGCATCTGTGCAGGCCTGTGCCAGCTCAGGACTCTACAACTGAGACAGCCAACTCCCCACCCCCACGGCCCCTTGGGGACCCGCGCCCAGGGATTCCTCGCCAGGCCCGAGACAAGAACTGTATAGTGGCTTGAAGTCTAGGCAGTCCTGGGTGAGGGTGTCCATTCTCGAGTCAGTGTAGATGATAACCCCCCAACCTGACTCATAAGCCCCCTTCCTTCCTCCCTCGTGTTTGTATTATTGAAATAATAACTTAATATTTGTTGTAAAACAGGCCTGGCTTCTTTGCCTCCTTGCTCCAGACCACCCCCCAAATTTTCCCCCTCCTGATGCTTGAAATTTATCCACATTGATCAAAGGATTAATTTATTTTCATATTTTCTAGCCATCCGTTTATTTATCCCTCCATAGAAATCCCCCCACCAAGGAGGTTATTTGGAGGGGGTCACAATCTGGGGCTTGGAGTCTGAAATCTGAGGTACCCTCCCCTACTCATTTTGTGGCTTAGGTGGGGCATGTTCCAGGCAGAACTGGTGTCTCCCTTTAGACACTAGAGAAGGAAAGGGGGATGTAGGCACACCCATAAATGTGGCCATACACTTGAGGCGGGACTTTCGGTTCCCCCAGCAACCTCTCTGGAAGCACAGAGTTGATTGACAGGCTGGAAGACAAATTCTGCCAATAAAGGCCCTTTTACCTCAATAGGGGGCTGTGGGTTGGCTGGGAGTGTTGTTGTGGGGGTGTGGAGGAGTTATTAGATGGAGGCATTATTTGCAGGTTGCAGAGAGAAATTAGGAGAGTTCGCCTACACCGGGCCATCTGCAGGGTCTGCAGGGTGAGGAAAAGAGAGAAAGCATTGGCTGGATCCATTTGCCCATTTTACAGACAATAATACTGAAGCCTATGAAAGGACAGGCCTTGGGCCAAAGCTGTAAGTACCAATAAGGTGCAGAGTTGGCATTCATGCCCTTGGGAGACCCCTTTCCCTCTCTCTTCTGCCCCCTCAGCACTCTCCTTCCTTCTCTACCTCCTCAGCACCCACCACACACACACTTACCAGTGGGGGCTGCTGTATGTCTTTGCTGCCGAAAGGGGAAGGTAATGTAGGCATCGTAGCCAAAGAGGCACGTACTGACTAGGCCCAGTACCTGGGGGTGAGGGGAGGATGGGAGTGAGGGTAATTGGATGGATTACGCTGGTCAGCCTACTCAGCCTCTTACCTCCTTGTATCCACCACTTCCAGCGATTGCTCCATGCAGGTGAATCAAGCCCCAGGTTACGAAGCCAGAGAGCCTCAGGAAAAGGCCTGGAGACTGGACTCTATCCCACTCTCCCTCCTCCTAGCACCTCTCAACACAGGGCAGCCACATCCTGGCCCCACATGCTGGGGGCGTCATCCAAACTGTACATTTATTGAGACAAATGTCCAGCAGATGGTAGTCTAGTGTGTTGACAAAGGGGCCACCTGTTTGTACTTCCCACAAAAATCCCTGTGTCAGACAAGGGAAGGCCCTTTATAGCAAATGCTGATCTTAAGAAGGAGCTGGGAGTACAAAACCAGGGCCTGAGTCAGACTTTTCTGCAGCATGGACACTTGAGGCCTTGAGGGCAAGCATGGATTGCCATGGGTGACACACTTTCTACCAGAAGTAGAGAGAGATATGGCCCCTAGATCTGTGAACCCCTCTCCCTGTGCCTTGGAGCTGCCGCCCCGCCTTTACCCCAGCGATGACTTTGGAGGCCTTTCCAGGACTAGCAAGGACAACAATGGAGATGATTAGGAAGAGGATCGCAGCGATGAGTGCTCGGAAGAAATCCTGTGAGGTGCGAGAAGAGGGACATAAACACCCAAAACCCACTTGACAATCCCAGTTGCCTGGTGCCTCCCCCAGCCTAGCCAATGTCAGCCCCCTTCTCACACTCCAGGGCCAATTGATGAACGGTATCTTGGTGTGCAAGTCACACATGTAGATAACAAAGAAGACAGCAGCCATGATCATCTCGAACACAGGCAGGGAGGAGTAGTAAGCTTCGCTGCTTGGCCCGGTGCTAAAGCAGATCATAATCACCAGGCACAATATCTGGAGGGATGACACCAGAAAGGGGACCTTGATAAGCTCCTAGGGCTGACGGGGTCTCAAACTTAGATGCCTCTCGAGGCTGAAAAAAACAAAAACCAAACCCGTTGCCGTCGAGTCGATTCCGACTCATTTTGGGGCTGAGAAGATGACAAATAATAGGAGATAAAACACTTAAATTGTGTGCTTACTGTGTTCCAAGCATTGTCCTAAGAGATTTACAAATATTAACTCACTTAATCATCACAATAACCTAATAAGTTGGGTAGTATTAGTACTAGTATTAGTATTATTAGTATCTCTATTTTATAAATGAGAAAACTGAGGCACAGAGAAGTTAAGTGATTTGCTCTGGGTCACCCAGCTAGTAAGGAGATGAATTGGGTGTCTCAGCTCCTCCCTTTTTCTCTTTTAGGGCTGGGGCTGCTTCAGGGAGTGGCGCTGCAAGGTGTTTTGTGAGCACTGCTGGCGCCAGCTTCCGAGGCCTTGAGGGAGCGGGACTTTCGGTTCCCCCAGCAACCTCTCTGGAAGCACAGAGTGACACCCGAGGAGGAGGGCTCCGTTAAAGGCGCTGCACCCCTTTTACGAGTGACTCAAAGGCGGTGCCTACTTTGAGGGGGCGGGAAACCAAGACACTCGAGCGGCCCAGAGAGCTAAAGGACCTCCTGCCGGGTCCTAGAAGGATGAGAAAAAAACGGCGGGGGCCCCTTCCCCTTGTGGCACTAGCGCGCAGGGCCCCACCCCAACAGGCCCCGCCCCTGGGCACGCTGCCAGACCGCCCGCCGCGCCCTGCCACCGGAGGCCCCCACTTCCCAATCCCCCCGGGACCCATTCGAAGAGTCCACGCGGGCTCCCACCACGCTGTCCCCTAGAAGCTCTCTCGATCCCTCACCTCATTCCGTGGGCCGGGAACTCCTGACCACGTTTCCCAAACCCCACCGACTCGCCCTGCTCCCCTAGTTTCGGTTCTTCACCAGGAACCCACCCACCCACGCCCCACTGCGGAGCACTCCCGGCCATGTGCCTGCCTCACGCGGGGCCGTAGCGCTCCGCGTGGTCCAGCCATCCCACCTTGCCTTTGCCCACCAGCCTGCCCCGGGACGCTCACAATCTCAGCAAACAGGAGAATTCCCTTTCGGCTGCGCAAAAAGTTGGTGCAGGCAATCCAACAGCCGGGTGCCGAGAGGCGCTCAGAGTCCGCCATAGCGTGAACTGGAGTCCCTGGGGATGCAGGGGATCTGCTCGCTTGCCCGCGGGTTTGAGGACGCTGCACACCCAGCCGTAATGCCTGCCGTCGGACCGGGAAGGAGCCCCAGGGCGAAGAAGGGAGTGAATCACCGGGCAGAGCCGAAGCGGGCAGGGCCGGAGGGGGCCGGGCCAGGTGGCTGCCGCCCCGGAAGCACCCTCGCCCGGCCCGCCAAGTATATTCCCCGCTCTGCGCACAGCCCCTGGGGCAACCCATCGTCGAAGGGCGCCTGCCTTTGAGGCTTGGCAGTTCGAGGTACCCGGTGCGATAATGGCGAGACGCTTAGCCTTTTGTAGACAAATGCGCTGGAGGCTGCCTCAACTCAGAACATTGGAACCTGACTTTGGGAGAGTGACTCAGTTTCCTCAGCTGTAAAAAACGGACCTGATTAAACCTGAAAGACTCAGGGCTGGGTATGTTCCCAGAATTCAGAATATTTCGAATTTCAGGAAGTTTCCCTGCTGCATATATAGTATACTATTTAACACTCTCAGCAGAGTCAAGAGTTGCCCGGTTTAAAAAAAAAGAAAACACGTTTATATTTCTTTAACGTATGAACGTTCACAATAAGTAATATAAGACTGAAAATTGTTCCTTGTTAGGCCAGGTTAGCTTTTGTAACCAAATGGTGCTAAACTTGTAAAACTGTCGGTTTCCAGAGCTTTTTGGACTTCAGAATTGCAGATAAAAGATCGTGGACCGTGGAATAAACCTCTTCGAAGTGATGGGAGATGAAATAAGAGTGTCCGGGTGCAAAAGCTGAGAACGTAGCCTGGTGAGCATCAAACAGTGAGTGCATGGCTGTGAACATTATTAATAGTGGCAGAGCCCAGGGGCCCAGGATCTAATTCTCTGTTCTTAGATCTGGAAATCTTAGCCTTAAATTCTGCGTCTCAGTTTCCTAGTTCTGAGGGGAGGGGCTGTCAGCTGAGCCCTAGATGAGGGATGGGGAAGGAGCACAGGTTTATCGCTGAAAGCTTGGCAAGATGAGGGGATGGCTCCTGGGGTGTGACAATGCTGGTGATATTTGCAGTGTGTGACTTTGATCAGGTAATTTTTCCTGGCCCAGCCTCAATTTCTGCATGTGAGACTGCACCTGGTCAGCTGGAATCAAGATTCTCTGAGATATGCCTATGGGCACGCTCTCCAGACTGGACTTTGGTTTCTCATCTGAAGTGGGAAAATCATTGCTGGAAGGCCAGGACTGTCCAACCCAAGGGCCTTCCTGCTCTCCCTCCCAATCCAGGGTCCCTCAAAGCCAAGGGGTTCCCCCTCTTTCAGCCCAGGGTGCTGAAAGAGTGATTGAATGGTGGAAGGGATGAAACATAAGAGGCCAGAAACTCCCAATCATCACCTCCCTCAATATAACCTCCTTTTGCTATCTTCATTTCTCTCTGAAATTATCTTTTTTCATTCTCTTGTTTTTCTTGTCTAACATCTGTTTACCCCCACTACATCAGCTACACGAGGGTAGAAATCTTTCTGATTTGTTCTCCTCAGATCTCCCCATGCCTATCATAGTGCAAGATATACATACAGTTGGGGCTCAATTAATACTTGTCAAATGCAGGCAAGATTAAGAGGACAGGTTTGGGAATCAGGCCTTAATTAAATCTTGCTTCAACCCCTCCCTCAAACTATTTACACTCTCTGGGCCTCGCTTCCCTCCTCTGTGAAATGAACATATGAGAGTTGTAGACTAGATGTAAGGAGATGAAAAGAGATAGTGAGAGTAAAGCCTGTAGCAGGGATAAGATAAAGTAAGTGGTGGCTGGGGTTACTATTGTTAGTCTCCTGGGTGTGACTGTGTTTATAGAACTGGGGCTCTGGGGCCCTTTCCTGACTTTGGTAGAGCCACACCTACAGCAGGCTGAGTCAGGGGTAGCTGGAAGCCCCAACATGCTCCCCTACAATGTTTACAACACTAACCATTCAAGTGTTCACTTCTTTATCCCCCAACTCTCAGCTCTCCCAGCTTGACTCTTCAGTCGCTCTCTCCTCACCAGCGCCACCCTGGACTCTCACACTCAGAGCCTTTTATTTCTCTTCCCCCTCTTCTCTCCCCATAGGGGCGAGAGTTGCCCGTTCCAGGCCGACCACAGCTTCCTTCGTTAGGGGGATGGAACCAAGTGTTCAGGATGTGGTGACAGCGGAGGTGACTGGTCCTTTCTGGCCTCCGCCAGAGCCTGCCTTAGGGATACTAAGGTTGGAGTCCCGCTGGCCGTATATGCCACAGCTGTAGGGCTCTGTTCCCAGGTGGAAGAGACTCTGGGCCTCTCCAGGGACCAGAAAGCCGAGCGGGTGGCGTGTGCATACAAGTCCAGTCTGCCGCAGTTCGTCACCATCTATGGAAGAGATGGGGCGCGGCCCAAAGGTTCTAACAGCCTTTTTTAGCCCGGCCTGCCCGGGGGCGCTGACTCACACCTTCCAGGCTCCACCCCAAAGGGGGCTCCAGGGCCCCAGCCCCTGCCGCCCGAGTGGCAGTCTGTGTGCCAGCGAAAGCTGGCAGACGAGGCCGGAAGTGGGAGACCGCAGGCTCCTGGCGAAAGAAGCCGCCCTGCTTCTAGCCATGCTATCCGGACGTTAGCTGAGGGTCTGGACGATTCCAGGCGGGGGCTGCGGTATACTGGTGCACTTCCACCACAAGAAGCCCACTTCTGCATTCCCCACGCCGCGCACAATAATTATCTGTGAGCCCCGCGCGCCTCCAAAAAAGTGAAATGTGTGAATGGAGAGGGGGCAGGAGTTGGTGAAGACAAAAGAAGTGGGGAGAGAGTACTCCCAGCTGGGGACAGGCAGCAACAAAGACCCGTCTGGAGGCATGAAACAAACAGCACGAGAAGAGGCTCGCCTAGAAACCAGACTGACCCACCCCTCCTTTACGGGGTGGACTGGGCAGCCCCACCCCGCCTAGAGCACCTCGCAAATCCAGACCGGATAGAACTATTTTATTACTTCCCCCGCGCTGGACACGAAGCGCAGGGCTGGCCGTCAGGGAGGGCCATACCACTGACGCCGCGAGGGGAGCACGGGCTGGTCAACTGCGCAGCAGGAGGGGGCACCAGAGTAAGGGGGAACTCTCCAGACCTTGCTAGTCCGCGGCGGGCAGGGCTGTACCAAGTGAGCACCTAGCCTTCCGATGTTTGCTCAGTACCTCCGCCTTGCGGCTGCCATCTCGAGAGCGAGCTGCGCGCCCCCAGGTGCCCTGAGGGCCCGTGAGAGCCGTTCCTCGCTGGGCACCAGCCAGGGTCCCGGAGAACTGGGAGTCTGGTCATCGGGGTCCTTCGTGCGGCGTTCAGAAGGAGAAACCGCTGCGCTGCGAACCACCGCCTCTGAGCTAGGCTCCGGGCTGCCCCAGGTGTTGGCCATCGTCCGGGACCCCGGGTGCTGAAGTGGGGAAGCGCTGGCGTTGCAAGACCTCCTTACCTCCGGTCCCCTAGGATCCAGGCTGAGATCTAGGGATGGCAGGATTGTGGGTTAGACTGGGTGGTGGGGTGGGAGGCGGAGGGGGGGGGGCCTTGGCTGAGGGTGGCCGGGATACCCCAAGGGCTGTGGGAGACAGGGATCTCCGCCCTTAGAGAAACCTCCCTAAAGGTTGGGAAACCTTCTTTACTGAGACCCTTGCCCCCCCCCCCACCCCGGATCCAGGACAAACCCTTCAGGAATCATTTCCCACAACCCTCAAAGGAAATCAAACCCCAACCTTGACCTCGGGAACTGGAACCCCTTCCATGTAGGACTCCTGACGTTCCCCTCGCTCAACCCTCCTTGGAGTCTCACCCCTCCTTTCCCTTATCAACCTGTCATCCTACCCTCTAGGAACCTATCCTCTCCCCGCTGAGACCCGCTATGCTTTGCACTTCTCGACCTTTCCCTCTGGACACTCGGGTTTACCCCAGACCCCTTCCCTCCTTTCTCCTCCCACTACCTGGAAAACTCACCTCTGAAACGCACAATTACTCCCATACTGGGACCCTGTGGCCCTGCCCTGGTTTTGAAAATACAATGACCTCCCCCATCAGACACCGACTCCCGACCCTTCCCACTGAGACTGCCAACCACTCCCCTACCAGGACCCCAGTTCCTCCACTCTGCACCCTTTTTCTTCTCCACACAGATCCCTGACCCTCTTCCACTGGGACATCCCCCACCTCTTTTCTGGGGCCCTCTCAACACCTCAGGCTTGCCAGGGTGGGTCTCAAAAGGCCTGCAGAGCATAAGACGGAGGCGGGGGCCACCAGAGTGGATCCGCTCTTCAACCTGGGCCTGGGTGAGGCTGTGCGTGGACTCCCCGTTGATGTGGAGCACGAGGTCGCCGGCCTGTAAGAGCATGAATCAAGGGGTGTTATAGGAAGGGCCAATGGAGGGCACCCTGACAAAGGGAGGGGTCCAGGATAATATCCAAAGGAGAAAGGAGGGCACCTTGGTGCTTACCTGCAAACGACCACAGCGCTGCGCCGGCCCGTCTTCCAGCAGCCCAAGCACGGCCAGTGGCACATCCCCACCAACAACATCCCGACCCCCACTAAAGGTGAGGCCAAATCCTGCGGGACCTCGGATCAGCTCCACACAGAACAAACCAGAGGTCTGGGGTGGTTTTGAAGCAGAACATGCATCATCCTGGGTCACTCTGGGCAGCGTCGTACTCGTATCCAGGGTCTCTGACCGACGATGCTACAGAAAGGATACAGGACCACTTAGGTTGTCAGTCCCAAAGACAGTGGCCTTGAATAGGAGAATAGGGGCAATACCTGGCACCGGTGTCTGACAACAGGGGCTTGGGGCAGGCGACGGTCTGTGACCTCTATATCCGCAGAGTCCAGCCCGCTGACACCTGGGGATGGAAGAGGCTGAGAGGGCACATTTGGGGGCACTCCACTGAAACTGTCTAGGTTTTCCCCTTCTAAATTAACATTCTACCCTCATCTCTTTGAACTCAATATCCTAGCCTCATGCACTTAATTAACAATCTGGGCCCCGCTTCTCAAGTAATTGTCCAGGCTCTGCCCACAAGAATAGCTGTTTTGAACTCACCAAAGAGTTAACTAACATCCTGGTCCTGACCTCTGCCCCTCACTCTAATAACACCCAGGCCCCACCCTCTCAATTCACACCCTTAGATTCACCCCTGGGTGATAATACAGGACTTGGCTCAAAAACATTTCAGGCCCCGACTTCCGGGCAACCTGGCGCTATAGGCAGAAGCACCATGCTGTCTCTCCACAGCAAAGATCTGAAAAACTAAGCCAAACAGAGAAAACGGTAATCCTGAAACCCTAACCATCGAATAAAGAGATAAAGAACTCAGCCACGCACTGAATGGAATAAGAAACTGACAGAGAAGAGAGAGCAAGGAGAGATACACGCAGAGATCCCCTATCAGCTAATGCAGCATGGACTCACCATCTTGGACTCCTATCAGAGACTAGCGAACAGGGGGTATGAGAAAGCAGCTTCACGGAGCTTCCAGCAGGAGACAGAACAACCGGTAACCATCGATATATGCTTTCCCACCCCCCACCCTTCTTCACCCCCACTCGGCCTCCTCTGCTTCCTGCAGCCATAGTCTTTTGGCCAGGAAGCACAGGCTTCACCCCAGTGCTGCTTGGATTCCATTCACCTGCACTGGCTGGCTCCCTAAGTGCCATTTGTTGGCTGCTGTGTTGCTTTTTTCCACTTCTTTAGATTTCTTCCTTACCTCCCATTACCTCCCCCTCCTTTCTCTCAAATACCTGGATCCAGGTGCCACCTTTGCTTCTTCCTGAAAGGCTGTGAAACGCTGCTCGAATGTGAGACTGCTTCCGGACCCGTGCTGCCACGCTGGTGGGATCCTGGGGCTTTTTGTTTGTTGGTTTTGAATTGTTTGTTTTCTTTTTTTTTCTCGAATTGGGAGCCGGTTCTAGCCAGGCAGTACTGCGTCGCTTGGGACCTATCCCCTCAGTTTGTGCAGATGTGCAGAGGGATCCCTGAGCGTATTTCTTTCTTCTTGGCTTTTTTTTTTTTTTAATTTGAGAGGGGTTTCTTGTTCTTTTCATTT